TACATTAATACTATACTAATACCTCACGATAAACTTTTGATTTATTGAAGAACAATAGATTTGGAGAAAACTAACAAATACGGCCTCCAAGGTCGTGCGATTTGACATATCTCTTTTATTTTCCAAGAATATAGGTAAAGTTACTATTTTATGTTTGTAAACTAAGGAGGTGTCACCTTGGAGGTGTTTGTTGATTATTTGTGGTATTAGTAGAATACGACAAGTTCGAAATGGCAATTAAACATCAGCTCGTGCCGGGGGCCATTGTGACTCCTTCTTTGTTTTAATGAACCGGTCACTGCTATTAGATCAATGTAATGCTTCTATTAGTAAGGGTACTCGTAGATCTAGACTTTCATGTAATTTAAATTTGAAGTAATATTTTTATTTGTTCTTGCCTTTCTTGCTCGTCTTTATTTATCTATAATATCTACTTGGTTTTTTTTTCTCTTTTCATGCTTGGTGATCGGCCTGTTGTTAGTCCTAAGTTTTTTGTTGTTATTATTATTTTTAAGATGTGCTCGTCATTTTATTTTACTTGCCTTTTTTCTCTTTCCTCTTTATAAATGATGATGCTGTTGCTTGGTAACTGATAGTTTCTTAGTTGCGGTTAAATGATGTTTTTATTTGAAATTTTAAATAGATTTTCAGTTTGTGATTTAGGAAATTGTTGCATTTAATAAATATTTACATTTAAAAAATATTCAGATTTGATAAACGGGTTTCCTTATATGCGTGTTTCTTATATGCTCGGCCGACTGTATAATAAATGTTAAATAATAAATTATTCTCTTAATAGAGACAATTTTGTGTTGGAAATTAAGATACACTCAATTTACTCGCAAAATTTTCTATTTAAATTTAAATAAATTTTAAAATAATTTTTAATATTGAATGATTAAATTGTACAAGAACTAAAATCTGTTTCAAAAATTAAATTAAATTATTCATATTTCTTTATTACTAATTGAAAAGTACCGAAATATGGAAAAATAATATGAAAAAAATTAGAAAAAGAAAAATTTTCTAATTTAATTTTTTCTATAATTGGTTTATAATAAGTTTTCTAATAAAATATTTAACATTTTGAAAAAAAAAATATTTTTAGAATGATTATACAAATTTAATGAATTTATTCTGTTGTACAAGAACTTTTTTCTTGTACGCAAATATTTATTAAAGTTTTTTTTTTTATTATATTAAAATAAGGAAAGTAAAATTGAGATATTACGATTGTTGTATATGTATGTATGTATGTACATTTTAATATATGATTAAGTAGTAGGCAAAGTTCTGCAATAATTAATTGAACAAGTTTTGATATTTCTACAAAACTAAACGGCACAATCTTGATAAAATGTTTACCTAAATTCAAATTGAGTGAGCAATTCCGTTTGACGGTCATCAACACTGGCAATCAACAATTTATGTTAAAAAAACTTTTGCATATCAATTTTCGCATATAAATTTTGCATGCAACCGGTTGACAGCTGCTTTAATAACAAATTACTTATAACGTAGAAGTTTGTTGACAGCATTATCGATTAAAATGCAAAAGAATTAATCGTGAATTTTACATTATCAATTACACCTTATTATGTAAACTCAAATTTTGCTTTACATATTATATTGTAGTCAACGTATTATTTTTCTTAACTGAAAACTCGAATGATCAAATCGAGTTCATACCTGAACAAACAAACTTAACCTAAATTTTGAGTTTTGTAAACATTAAATTTGACTCAAGATAGTTATGTTTTGTTAATAAAATTGTTTTTTATTTATTATGAATTTTTTCAAGTAGTTAAAAATCACTAACTATGTTGATAAAATTTCTTTTTTATTATAGTCTGTCAATGAATCATTGATTTTATTTATGAAATTCTATATTTAAAATATTTATTATGTAAAATGAAAGAAGATCAATATTTTAAAAAACAAAAACAAATAAAATTAGATGTCTTATATACGAAAAACCATTTCTCAGCGAACACTATTTCTTTTATAAGAATAAAATAAGAAATTGGAACTTCTCAAATTCCTCTCTTATGTTCTTTTATTCAAATATTGATTTTAAATTTCAGGATTAGTAATTCAGATGGCGTTTGTTAGCTGAAAATTGTAGTGTAATGTTATGTATGCCAAAATCGGTTGACTTGATAATATTTAGTTGAAGAAAAATGTAATATTGGTTTACAACTTGCGAATTTTATTGTAGCAAATTATTGCTTGAAAATTTCAAGTTATATTTCAAAAAAATCATTACATCTCCAAAATTTTCTATGTCAACTAACATTTTACTAAGTTGTCTCGACTCTAGCAGATGTCTCCACTGTCTAGTTGTTTTATTTATTTCTGACATTTGCAGTTGTTTTATGCAGTTGTGTTCTTAAATTTTAAGTTTCCAAATTTAACTTACTTGTAGTGATATCGTTTTCTATTCGCACGTATTATAAAATTTAATTAAATACAATAAAATTTGATCAAAGATTCCTGAGAACCATTCCAAAACTAAATTAGAAGAAATATTCTGTATGGAATTTTCGAAAAAGAAATTTTTTATAATTTTCATATAATAGAATGAATTATCAATATAAACCAATTCTTATAGAATTTTTTTTGAAAATAAATTATGCAAATTAAATTGTCAAAGTTGTATCATGCGCTCAAATTATAATTTGCAAAGTAATTTTGAACTCAATCTCTGTACAAATACCTTTTATATATAATATGCTGGAAAGAAATAATAACGATAACTATTATAAAATCCTTGTTGTCTGCAAAATACATATATTTTTTTTCCCCCTTTTAAATTGAAATTAATTTTTATTTGGCAATACTATATTACGTTTGGGTATTAACCCTATTATATATTTACAAATTTTTATATTATAAAGACACTGAATTAGGCCGGTGGTACCGTAATTAATTTTTAAAAAAAATCATGCTATAATCGTTCTGTCTTAATATCAAATGTTCTTATTGTTAATTATAGAATCCACAATATATGTATGTAGTTACAAAAAGGCAAAGCAAAAACTGAAAGTAAAAATAACAAGACAGAATTAAAAGATCTAAAATTAAAATTTCATAAACTTAGGAGGTGTACTTGTATATTTACTAATGTCCTTTTAATGTTAACGCAAACTTTCTATAAGAAAATCATGCAACAAAATGAATGGTTGAATACAATAAAAGTATGGAAAATATTCAAGGATTCAGAAAAAATTCGTTATATTAAAAGTTTATAATATTCTATTGCCCATTTCCTATATTCAGCAGGGTGAGAAGAAAGGAACAAAAAATTCAGGTGCCTCAAATAATTAAGAATTAAAAATGCATTACTAATATGAGGTTTTAATTAAGTTCTCGATAAAAACTTACAAAAACAAAATAAACAATAAAAGCAAACGAAAACGAGGAGAAAATACAAAAATATCAGAGCTATTTATTTAGTTAAAATACCTTAAAGGTAATTTTTTTTAGAAATTAAGAAATATATAGAGTATTCTGTAATGAAATGAGTTCATATAGCATAAAAATAAGAATACGGGGAGTATATAAGAAATATTTGTGTTAGCATTCAAAGATAGCAAGTACTTAGAACAATCTTAAATTTTTAATATAAGATAAATAAAAATTTAGCAAAAAAATTTTTCTCCGTATGGATTTTGCCAGATTATATTTATACCCGTTTACGAAATTATGTTCGAAAGGTAATATAAATTTGCCTTGCCGTTCCGTCCATCCGAATTTTTGAGTTACCTAACTCAAAAATTAATTGAGCTACACTCATTAAGTGAGGCAGCGGCTCGGGTTGCCGTCCTACAACGTCAAAAGTTATTTGGAGGCTCACACGTGTGGGGTGACCAGAATAATTTGGCGTTGTAGGAACGAAAAGAGGAAGAGGATGTTTCTGGGGTATAGTAGTGCTGATCTCAGCATACTGGTGGGGGTGCCGAACGGACATTCCCTCTTGGGAAATAGGCAAAGAGGCTTGGAATGATGTGAAACATGTTCTTTGTGCCTGTCCGTTTTTGATGTAAAAGGGAAAGCGTGTCCTCGTGGATATATTGTGGTATGTCTCTCTCACTAGGTGTGGGACACGCTCCTATAACGACCGCCCGATATTCACCTCTCTGATGAATTCGAGTATCTTGAAAGAACCGGGGGAGTTGTGGTCCTGTCCTCAGTAGTATTGATAACGTAGCTGCCCAGTATTTCTCTTCTCCAGCGGTTGAGGGACCCAGAATCTCGCAGAAAAAAGTATTGAGGTCTCCTCCACAAAATTAGCAAGTGTCCTCGCTGGTTCTTGCTCAGGCCTATAATCTTCTGGTCATAATTTCCAAGAATCTCCTTGGTCTGCCGCAGCCACGGAAGATTTCTTCATGGCTCTAGCTGTCTACTCTCTAATTCCTTTCTCAGTTCCCACCGAGCAGTATGTGGCCCGATTCCATAGAAGGGCTTCGGGTGAAGTAAAAGTGCGCTGATCTCTTTCTTTGCCAAGACGTCGGCCACCTCGTTCCCTTCTACGTTCTAATAATGTTAAAGCACAGCAAATTTTGACTCCATGTGTAAAAAAAGTCATAGAAATTTTTTTAATCCTTGTACTAGCTGCCATACAACTTCAATGTTTGTTTAGTCATATCTTAGAGTTTATATGCTCAACTCTATAATTCCTCGATTTTGCACGATATCTTTACTATTTTTTTTAAACATTAACTTTTAATTTTCCTTTAATTGCATTCTAAAATTGGAATTAAAATTTGTAAACATTCACTTTTAGGGCAATTTTATTAAATATTAATATTTCCAAAGTTTACTCATATAGAAATTAATTGATTATCTTTCCAATTCGTAATAATTATCAATATCGCTTAATTTCCTATAAATTTTTCAAAACATAATCACAGTTTTAGAATCTATTTTTAACTATTATATTAATTAGACAAACATTAACCTTAGAACACTTATTAAATATTTTTTTTTTAATTTTTAAGGTCCTCCTATTATTGTTGAAGTTGATATCATGGTTAGAAGTATGGGACCAATTTCAGAAATGGATATGGTAAGAATTAAATTGTATAAATGAAAATTATTAGATTTCTATTACTACACATACATTACATGCAATATGTTTTTGTAATAATAGCTGTAAACTTAAGTTATCTGAACTTCTTAAATTTTTATTGAACATTTTTTTTTCTTAAAATACTAAAAATCATTTACAAAATAACTTCAAAAATTTAAATGAGTTCTCACTCACCTTTATGACATTGAATATTCCCTATTGAAAGAAATGTCGTTTTGTCGAATTTTTTTTTTATTTAGTGCGTGAGTTTTTTAAGATTTTTGTGATTATTAATTTTCAATTTTTCGTGCCAATATTAAATTGATTCTTTCGCTGAGATTTTTTGTCCACAAGCCTATATAATATTTAGGTCTACAATAGTTAAATGAAAACAATTCCATCAAATGGTACCAATATGATTTTCCCATCATATTTTGTCAAAATTTTATATTTCATTAATTTTGCTTATATTCCGCCAGTGTATAATTATGTGTATGTAAGTGACGCTCATATTAAATTTTTGTGTTTTACATTCAATTCTAATTTATATATTCTTATTAAATATTCTATATATTGATCAATTTTCGGGGGCTCATTATAACTTTCAAATATAGTGCATTACACAAGAATAATTACGTGAATATTAATTTATTGATTTTGTTCACTGACAGCACACCAAAAATTTATTCCATTGCGTTTTAAAGAGTTTTAAATTAGCTGTTTTGTTTTTTTTTTTTTTTTAAACTTGAATGAATTTTGCTCGTATTTGAATTTCCCCCTCTTTTTATTAACAAAAAAATTGTTTTTTTTTGCTACATAACCTTCATTGTATTCACTGATTTTTTATTGTCAATAATGAAAATCAATAAATTTCTATAGAGATTTTTATAATTACGTGTGTTTATGTAAATAAATTGAAAAGCTTATAAATATATGTATATACATACATGCATCATTTGAATTTGTTTTTACCGGCCGCATTGCATACAATAAGAGTGGTGTTGCAACAGCACCTAATTTAACATACCAAGTTTTCAACAGAAACCCATATCTTTTTATTAGAAAAATTCTTAAAAGCGAGATGTCGATTTGTAGGCCCGATTTATTCTTAATTTATTTTGTCCATGTAAGGAGTTGATGGGAAGCAGTAATATAAACAAAAGAGGTGAGTGCCTACTTGAATTTATATATAGCAATAAATTAATGGTTATGAATGAGGGCAATAGGCCGACATTCATAAATGCAATTAGGGGAGAGGTCCTTGACATTTCTTTTTCAGGCCCTTCAAATCTCCAGGTGATGACGGGATATATCCTGCATTTTTGCAGAGGGGTTTATAACATATCGCCAGAGCACTGTTGGAAATTTTTCGTGCCAGCTATGCGTGGGGTTACATACCTCAGCCTTACTTCTTTTCTACTGAAAGCAATGGAAAAAGTGATTGATTGATTTATACGGGACGATGCACTGGGAAGCAATCCCTTGCATGAATCTCAGTACGCCTATCAGTCGGGAAGTGCGGGAGGTGGCAGTTGGCTGCTTCCTTGATATAGAGTGAGATTTTGACAACACCGCACATCATGTCATCTGTGGGTCGTTGCACACAATCTGTTGGGATTGATGCGACGGGGGTTCATTTTGTGGGGTTGGCGATGAGATCGCCGTGCACATTCGCAATTGTCTTGGACATGGGTCCCTAAGTGTTCGGGAACTGTTGTCCAACACCCTCAGGGATATCTCCGACTTTATGGTTGGGACGGGGATATTATAGGCGGGAGCGTGGGGAGGCTACAATAAGTCAAGAATGTCTGCGGTGGCTTGGGGGATTACTCCTGTCCCACTCGATTCCCTTAAAATCTGCAATCTACAATTACTGTAGAAGGCAATGCGGAGAAAATTTACCGATAATTACAAAATTCATGCCTTTGTAGCCGAGTTAGTAGAGCGTCCGCCTAGAAAACTGTATATAACTTCCTAAGCTAGAAGTACATAACTTATGTCTAATAATACAACGTGCCTGCTATAAAGCGTTTCGAGGAAATCAAATAGGCTGACTTCACTTTTTAGAACATTGATATTATATAGGCCGAATTTTTTGAATATGTCTAAGACAACACAAGTAAGTATTGCAAATTGGCCGATTTACAAATTGGCCGAGCTTTTTAGGAAAGATATAGTGCGACCGATTATGTGTTGATCCCATCAAATTTTTTTATCATACTTTTATTCTAACGATTATAACTACACCTACCGCATATTATTAACAATTTAAATAAACAAAATAAATAATTATTACAAAAATTTCCACGAATATTTAAAGAAAATTCCTTAAGTATGACAGTATAAATTAGTATGTACATGTATGACAAAATGTACATATGTAAATGTAGATACTTACATTTATTTGAAATCAAATACCATATTTAATTTCGAGAGAAAAAAATTAATTGGTTTCTAAATCCATAACTTATTCGATATACACACATGTATGTATTCTAACGCTTCTTTATTATATTTTCTTTTTGCAGACTTACTCAATGGATTGTTATTTCCGTCAATCATGGGTTGATAAACGTTTGGCTTTTAAAGGTGCACAAGATACTTTAGCACTAAGCATATCAATGTTAGAGCGTATATGGAAACCGGATACATATTTTTATAATGGAAAACAAAGTTATTTGCATACGATTACAACGCCAAATAAATTTGTTAGACTTCATCAGGATGGAAGAGTTTTATTTTCAAGTCGGTAAGTTTTAAATTTCCATTAATTTTTCTTTTTATGATTCTTTGTGTACATTAGAATGTTTAATGTATTGTACTTATATGTATGTGTATATAACGATAGTATAACAGTTTGTCAATTTACGAAGGAAATCTTTTGGCTTCCTGTTGCCTAGAATATAATAAGAATGGGAGAAAAAGAAGGAAGGGAATAAAAATGAAAAAAAAGAAAAAATTATTTAAGGATACAAAATAGAAAAAAAATTTGCTTCCTTAACAATAGAGAAAGGGAATATTTTTTTTAACGTTTTTATCTTCCAAACATTTATGGTTTTCTTCATAATTCCTTGATATTTTTATTCTTGATTCAAATTTGGTTTTCTATTCATAGATGACGTACCTATATTTATATACATATGTATGTATTCTTCTCTGAGAAAATTTAGTCGCTAATGTTTCGTGTAAATATTTGTCATGGAGAATTGTTTTTTTATTTTTTTTCTATTTTTTTGATAATTGATTGAGAGAAAATTTTTGATAATGAGAAATCTAGGAATGAGAATTAAAATAAAAAAATACAAATATAAGAAAAATAATTGGGGCAATCAAGTGATGAGCTGTTTTTGGATTGAATCAAACAATTTATAGTTGAGCGATTTTAATTTTTTCTGAAATTGGAATAAAAATTCTTGGATTTATAGTTGATGAGCATAAAAGTATTTTTAGACCTAATTTATTAATATATTATTTTCAACATATTTATTAATAAAAGTTTTTTTAAATTCAAAATTTAAAACAAGTAAATTTTCCAGAAAAATGAAATATTTTTGGAGAGATTTCTCTCGCTCGGTTTGTTTGTTTGTCAGACTATCAGTCTGTTTGTGCAAATCAAATTTTTAAATTTTTACTATTTTCCGAATTTACATCATTTTTACTATTTTCTTTACAAAGTTCCGTATCTCAGGAACTAATTGACGGAATTTTTGAAATTTAATATTTGACTTGTGTTTTGAAATTAACTTGTAAACTTTGCAAAGAAATAGGAATTTAATATATAAAGAAAATTTTCGTAATCTGATGCTACACTTTAACAATGTGTTCGGTTATGGCTTGTTCACATCAGATTTTTCAAAATGTTTTTTCAATTGCTGGAAATCTGCTTCTTTAAAAAACTATTGGTTCCTTTATTTAAAAATATTCCTTCACTATATAAAAATTTCTAAAAACAAACGTTTCCTTTTAAAAAATTCCAAAATTTAATCAACTTAGAACACGACAAAAGCAAATGATATTATTTTGTATCTACGTTTTGATAGCAAAGTTTTGCTTTTAATCTTTTTTAAATCTCTTTTTTTCTTAACTTTTTTCCGATTTTCGCGGATTATATTTTGTGATTTTACGGTTTTTCCTGTGTTATCTACTAATAAGGATGTTAAAAGTGTTGTAATGTTTAAAACTTTTATTTTCTTTTCCCTTCGTTATTGTATGTGTCATTATCACTGTAGATGCAGCTGCAATTTCATAGCAATATTTGCTTTGCTTAAATGTAATTTTCTAGTTTTTACAATATTGGTTGAAAAGGAAGTTCTTAAATTCTAATCGGATATTAATGTTTAATTTTCGCTATTTTAAAAGCAATTTTCGAATTCATACAAATTGTAAGTTTAAAAGTTTAAATTATTATAAATGTAAATAGAATGTTCCGTAATTTACTTCCCATTTTTAAAAAATGTACTAAATACATTAGGATTTATAAGAATAAATAAATTTTTCGAGTGTGCATATACATACATACATACATAGCTATATTTTTAAATTTAAAATTAAATCTCTTGTCCTGGTAAGAAAAAATTTTAGAACACTTTTTTCAATAATTGATAGCAAGTATAAATTGTTCTGATAAATTGATTTCAGGTTTATTTTCCTGAAAACTATTGTTACTATTTTTTTTTTCTAAATAATTTTTATAAATTCTTTAAAAATGTGATGCTTCATAGGCCAGTAGAAATTAAAAATAATTTCCTTGGATTCCGTATTGTCTTTTCATCGACCGCATTGCATAAAATAAGGGAGATAATGTGATGGCATCAAATTTCGGATGTCGAGTGTTCGGTGGGAACCCATTTCTTCATAGTAGGGAAGCGTAAATAAACTATTTTTAAAGAGTTGCCGTGCTGTCGGTTTGGGTGGCACACGTATATCTTAAATTCGGCTGAACCAATTTTGATGAAATTTTATATGTGCGATTAACTTTTGGAATATATCAGACCTTGAAAACTGCACCTTCTTTCAGTTCCCGAGGTCTAACATATCCCAAATTTCCGATTTTGTTTCGATGTGTTAAAATGTTGAGTTTATAAATTTTTTGGAGGGATAAATTCTCGAGCTCGATTCTCTTGAAATATGATAGTTGAGTTGTGGTTAATACCGAAACTAACTAGTGAACTTTTCAGGGAATTCGGATGGCACAAGGCGAATTTCTACTAAGAGCAAAATTTAGACTTTTCATACATTAGATATAGTTAACATACTAAATGCTTACCTTAAAATTGAAAGAAAGGAAGTGTTCAAAAGTGTTCAAAAGTCACTTTCATATTCCTCTGCTACACTTTCACAAAACTGGGAAATACACATTGCGGCCGGTTTTGTACTAATCACATCAGATTTTTTTTCGTTTGGTTCCTGTTTGCAATACCGACTAAGTTTAATCATTTTAGGAAATTGTTTCGTAAAATCATTTTAAATATTCAGTGATTCGAATTACTTTGCAATTTACAAGACTATTACGCTATCTGTACAATTTACAATTTACTTTGCAATTAATTCTGATTTTAAATATTTGAATTGGAAATTTTTATTAAAATTTATTCATTTTTCCAGAAATGCTCAAATGAATTAAAAACCTCGTAAAGAATTTAATTTTACTTCGACTTAATTAAAAAGCTAACAGGTGATATTTTACTGTTCATGTGAATTTCACGAGTTGCCGTTCTGAGTTTATATCTGAGTAAATTTTTTTGAGCTTTGTTTTACACAGTTTTTAGAGCTTTGTTTTACTGAGCTTTGTTTGAATGCTTCTCTTATATAAAATTCTATATAATTTGTTTTGGTAACTCCATCTCACTTAGCATACTCCGTTATACTCGTTTTCCATTACGCCATGTTCGTAAAAAATTTTAAACAGTATTTCGTGGTCTACACTGTCGAACGCTTGTTTTAGATAAAAAAACATATTACCTATTTTGAATTTTTATATTAATATTTCAAAATTTAATAATTTAACCAGCAGTTTGAAGATGTTGAGCAGTACAATTTGACGGAAAAATTCATTTTTTTTTTTAAATTCTAGTAAAACTTTTACTAAGATTGCCCTTAAATAAGCATTCCTTGTACGTTTTTGTTGTACATATGTATATGTAGTCCCTACTTTTGTCTAATACTTTAAACAAACTCAAAAAAAAAAAAAATATTAAGGAAATTGAGGAAAATTGAAAATTTTCTGTATTTTTTATTTTAATTTTGTATTTTTATAAACAAATACTTATACATATATTTTGTTTTTTTTCGTCTTTATTCAGTAATATTTTCAACTTCATTAAATTTTTTTATTAAACATATTAAATACTTTCATAAGCATTGTTTGTAATGTAAGGCGAAAATTATATTCAGAAAAATATATTATTTTTCTTTTATTACCTAATATTTTTTATATAATGTACTGATGTATGTACATGGATATACAATAAAAACTGGACTATAAATTAAAAATGAAATGCAAGTCATAAAGATTATTATTACATCTTGAACACGGCGTTTTATGCGAAAATTTAAAAATATCTTTAATTATTTTCAAAATAAGAAATAAGGTAAAGTTTAGACCGCTACTTGTTGAACTAGTAATGTAATTCTTGAGTTTTACTTGAATTTATTTGAGCGAGATCGAAGATTTGGAGAGTAAGTCTTATATCGAGGTAGGCCAAGGAGCTTGTGGGTAATTATGATCAGAAGCGGTGTAGAAAAATAATACGAATCGATAGGAACCAGGTGAAAATGCTCGCAGATTACAAAAGTTAGCACACTGCCAAATTAGGGTGCTCACGAGGAAGTTTAGTCTGAATGACGAGAGCACTTGCAGGTTCTGCGGGGAAATGTATGAGTCTTCGATACATCTCCTCAAATAGTGTGAAGTGTTGATTCACAGCAGAAGGGATTCTCTGGATCTTATTGCCCCTTCGCGGTTCTTTGTTATCCCATGTCTAATCTAGCCTACTTGCATCTAACTGACGTATATAATGACGTATTTTGAAAAACTTTTTCTGAAATAGAAGCGAAAATAGAATTTTAACAACTTCCATACATTCTCATTGATTTATCGTACATGCCCGTAATTTTATTATTATTTGAATACAATTTCTTTGCATATATCATTATGTATTTATTCATTTTCTACTTTTAAAAGTTTTCATTCATTAGTTAATATTTAAAATAAGAAAATCTAAATGTAATAACGAAACATTAAGCAACGACTCAAATATTTTATAAAAATATAAATGTATAGAACCTTTCTCATTATTACATTCAAAAGTAATCATAAAAGATAAAATATATATTTTATTTTTAGGAAAGCGATATTTACATATGTAGAAGGATATTAAAGGATAAAGAATTTTAATTTTCGACAAACAATAAAAATATTGCTTTCTTTATTTACATATATACCGTTATTTTAATGCAAAACATGCATCTCCCCGCCAAACTATTTTAAAATAACTTGAACGAAAGAAAATACGTTCTAAAATTGGACCATTCGTGATTCGTAAGAATGTTTTAATTGGCAGGCTTTGCATTAAAGTGTCTCAAACCATTCCGTAATCATAATGAACAATTTATGAGCTGCTTCTAATAAGCGCTTTATTGACATTGAAGTAATATTTATATAAATGTCAAATTTACTAAAAATTATTTATAATTTGAAAATTTTGCTTTAAAAATTTTTCAATGAAGTTAAGAAGCGGCTCTAAAGCTCTTAAGCGTGTTATAAAAACATACTAGGTCTGCCATAGCCCCGGAAGACTTCTCCAGTGCTCCGACCGCCTTCTCTCAGATTTCTTTCTTAGCTCCAAACGAACTGTATGTGGCGCGGTTGCGCAGAAGGGCTCCGACATAAGTATATAGGTGTGTTAGTTCCCCTCCCTGCTAGTGCGTCAATTTTATTAAAATATAAATAATCTTTTATTCATGTAAGCATACAATGTTTCCAAATTTTATTCGGGCTCTGAGAAGGTTTCGTGAGATTTTGGACAACCATGATTTGGAAGTTAATTTACAAATTCCATTACTATCCGATATAACGTATGTATAAAACACTCATAGAATTTGGAGCTTATCAACAAAATCTGTCTGAAAATGGTTCAAAATTTTTTCATTCTATATGGTTTCTTAGACAAGTATATATGTAATGACAGCATACAAATATTCAATAATTATTTTGCTTTTCCATTTTGATTTCCTCACACATGTTAAGATATTAAGTACGTACGTGCTTATACAACTTCTTCAACATTATTTATGTATGTATATATGTATATATTATGGTGTACGAGATCTATATGTACACGTAATGTATCTTAATTTTTGGTGATTTATATTCTTTCAGTCTAATAATTTCAAGGTGATACGCACTTATAAAATAATATTTTTAGAATTGCAAAAGAGAACAGTAATAATGGCCGTAAAATATGCGTACATACATATATAAAATAATATTACGTGTGTGCACAAATACATGTACTAAATTTTTTTTAAAAATTTATAAAATATTGTACTTTAGTTAGTAGAAGTTTTAAATTTTTGAAAAGCCCTCTAAAAAATTACATTTGTTCTTTTAACTTTTTTTTTGCAAAATTAATAATTTGCATGTCATTTTAAATTCAAAATTTTAAACATTAAATTAACATTTGTCAAATAACCCAGATCTTTTCCCAATTAAAATGTCACATGCTTTTTTGTTTTGATTAAATTTATTGAAGGCATTGATTGAAGTTTAATTTTTAATTTAGTTTTCAATTAAATTTATGTATATATGTACATATGTTTGTGAGTAAACAACCGTAATTTATTTTACCTAATGTAAAACCCTCATTCAAAAATGTTTATTGGTAATACTTTCGTATAATTGTTTCAGTATGATTAAGCACATTAGAACTTTCCTTTAAAATTGATATAAAATTTTAAACTACTCCCAAGTAATTTTTAAATGCATTTTCATATAATTTTTGCATATGATCGATTATGACTGGAAAAATTTGTCTTCCCGCAATTTTATTTTTTTTATTATATGTTTTGTCGTTTTAGATTAACAATAAAAGCTGGATGTCCAATGAATTTAGAAGATTTTCCCATGGATGTTCAAAAATGTCCATTAAAATTTGGATCATGTAAGTGCTTAGATTTTTGATTTTTGTCTAAATTAGAATTACCTTGTTCCTAAGTTAGTTTTGCAACCAGCCGGCGTATATTATTATTATATTTAAAGTAAAGCTTTATCTATTTTGGTAAATTTGTTTTTTTTTTCTTATTATAGTTGGTTATACCACTGCCGATCTTATATATAGGTGGAATAAAAATCGTACAGTTGCAATAGCGGAAGATATGAAATTATCACAATTTGATTTAGTTGATTGTCCATCAGATAATGTGACAGATACCGTATATAAAACATCTTTTACAAGGGGAAATGATGGCCCAGCTGTTACAATATCTTGTAAGTAAAAATTTTGTTTTTTTTAAATTTGTGCTTAAACTTATTTAATTTTAATAATCATTATAAAAAAATCAGTTATACACTCTACATATATTTCATAATCATTAAAGTATAAAATCTATTAAATCGGTCACTTCACTTCTATAAATCATAAAATTTATTGATTTTATACTTATTTTGTTCGAAAAATGATAAAGATATAATATGATGATATTAAAAAGTGAAATGAAACCTGAGAAATATTTTGAATTCTCTTGAGGGATTTGAGATTTTCAAATTTAAGCATTTTCTGCTTGCAACTCATATTTCGTTTTCCTTCAGAGAAAATTTTGATTTCACTTAAAATGTCTGCCATGTGTTGAAGAAAAATTATAAAATTTTGTTATTTTTTTCTGTAACGGGTTGTTTTTTTTTGCTATTTGAATTTTCATGTTATTATTTGTGATATTTCACCCGTGTTCATAACGGTTGTAAATGCCAAACTTAATTCAGTATTACTGGCCATTTTACCATATTTTATTAATGGCGCCCGAACAGTATACTTCCAAATTACTTATGTCTAATAAATACAAATTAAAAATTCGTTTGACTTATTGGTTTTTGGCTTATTATCTGATCACTCTGTTCTATCATTTTTTCTATGTATTTCTAGTTATATGAATGCGGCTTTAGAAACCTTTATTGAAGGTTTAATTTTTATTAATCCCTACCTAAAGTGTAGTTGTTGGAAATATTTACGCACTAAATCATATTTAAAAGATAAATGCCAACGTCCGTGACTATTTAAATTGAAATAAAAATTACATTATCTTTTCCAAGTTTTCTTCCCAAATTTAAAAATAAACCGGTTTAAAAATCACCAAACCTTGACTAGAAGCTTAATCAATCATACAAATATACGCATGGGATTCAGAAGTCCCTTCATATTTTGAGAAATGTAGGTGCATAATATTCTACCCTTATAGAATATGCTGCTTTACTACCATCAGTTGATTTTTAAGAACAAAATTTATCTTTTAATATTACTTCTTTATATAGAGTAATAAAACGAAGCGGACAGAAATAATTTATTACACATATGAGCTTAAGTTAACAGTCAAGACTTAATAGTCAAGCTAATTAGTTATAAACAATCAGCAAAAAAATTAGCTGTTTTCTCTTTCAAGCCCTTCAAATCTCCAGGCGATGACGGGATATATCCTGCATTTTTGCAGAGGGGTTTCCAATATATCGCTAGAGCACTGTTGGAAATTTTTCGTGCCAGCTATGCGTGGGGTTACATCCCTCAGGCATGGAGGGTGGCTAAAGTGACGTATATTCCGAAGGTGGGTAAGCGACCAAGCAACCACCCAAGGTCTTTCCGTCTAATCAGCCTTACTTCTTTTCTATTGAAAGCAATGGAAAAAGTGATTGATAGATTTATACGGGACGATGCACTGGGAAGCAATCCCTTGCATGAATCTCAGTACGCCTATCAGTCGGGGAGGTCTACTGTACTCGCTCTGCAGAGTCTGGTGGGGGTCCTTGAGAACTCACTGGAAGTGCGGGAGGTGGCAGTTGGCTGCTTCCTTGATATAGAGGGAGCTTTTGACATCACCCCATACTATGTCATCTGTGAGTCGTTGCACAAACGAGGGATTGATGCGACGACTAGCAGATGGGTTAATCGGATGCTACAGGATAGGATTATTAAGTCCACCATAGCTGACGATATACTCTTCATCTCCGCTGCAAAAGGATGTCCGCAGGGCGGGGTTCTTTCGCCCCTCCTGTGGTCCATTGTAGTGGATGATCTAATCGCTGCTCTCAGGGGCTCAGGGGCGCGTGTCTGGGGATACGCCGACGATGTGGCCTTCATCGTGCGGGGAAAATTTGAGAGCACTATTTCTGATCTTCTACAGCAAAATTTACGTGAGCACTTTGGTCGCCTTCACCAGACGCAGAAGCAGGGATAGATTAACGAGCCCAATTCTATTTGGTGAACGTATTAGTTATTCTAGGGAGGTGAAGTATCTGGGGGTAACCCTGGATGATCGTTTCTCTTGGAATACCCATATAGATAGAGTTATCGGGAGAGCTACAGCGGCCTTGTGGACGTGTAGGAGCTTCATCGGGGGGGCCTGGGGAATTAGTCCCAAAATAGCACTGTGGCTATATACGGCATTTGCAAGGCCCATCGTCACCTATGCGTCGATTGTATGGTGCCGCAAGGCTCAGCAGGCGGGTGTGTGGGCCAAGCTGGAAAAGCTACAGAGGCTAGCCTGCCTGGGAGTGACCGGGGCGATGAGGACGGCTCCCATCGCTGCATTGGAGGTGATGATCGGAGGGACCGCCACTGCACCTCCATATAATGAAGGAAGCTCGGCTAGTGACTTACCGACTTCTCTCTGGCGAGGACGGGGCAGGGCTAAAGTTGGCCCACAGAACTCACAGAGACTTCATTAAGGGCGATCCGATTCTAAGAATAACCATGTCGGATACCTGTCTGCCGCGGTACAACTTCGACCACAGGTACAGGGTTCTGTTTCCCAATCGATGGACGTGGGATCGGGGTGGTCCGGTACTTAAGTCGGGTTCGAGCGTGTGGTATGCGGACGGGTCCAAAACGGAGTCGGGTGTGGGTTCGGGCGTATACGGTGTCCGCCCGGACACGCGTGTATATGCAACCCTTGACCCGTATTGCACAGTGTTCCAGGCCGAAATACATGCAATAGAGATCTGTCTGAGAATCAATTTGGAAAGGGGGTATAGAAACAGCACCATCTATGTGTTCTCAGACAGCAGGGCTGCACAGCTGGCGCTCCGTTCAGCTCAGGTTACATCCAAGCTGGTCTGGAGCTGCCTTGCTGCACTTATGGAATTGGCATCGGAGAACAGAGTGACGCTCATTTGGGTGCCGGCCCATAGTGGCCATGCGGGCAACGAAGTTGCCGATGGGCTTGCGCGGAGGGGATCTGGGGTTGATTTTGTGCAGCCGCTGCCTTTCTGCGGTCTGCCTTCTTCCGCCGTGGGGGCCAGGCTTGCCTGCCTACTGAAAGGGTGCCGTCATGCGAAAGTGCTTCTTTCGGCGTGCGGAGCTGCTGGGGATGAGCAGGAGCCGGGTTCGCACTATTGCGAATTTCTTCACGGGGCACTGCCCAGTGAAGTACCACCTGCATAGGCTGGGGAAGTCGGGCTCCCCCCTGTGCAGATTTTGTGGGGGTGGCGATGAGACCGCCGTGCACATTCTCTGCGACTGTCCGGAACTGGGTGTTCGGCGCCGCAACTGTCTTGGACATGGGTCCCTAAGTGTTAGGGAACTGTTGTCCAACTCGCTTAGGGATATCTCCGGCTTTGTGATTTGGACGGGGATATTATACGGGAGAGTGGGGGGGGAGGGGGGTACAATAAGTCAAAAATGGCTGCGGTGGCTTGGGGGCTTACTCCTGTCCCACTCGGTTCCCTTGGAATCTACAATCTACAATCTTCTTCTAAAACAAATTCCAAATTCTTCAGCTATACGAATTTAATAGTAAACCCCTGCTTTTTCATAAACTTCTTCAATTTTTTTCGTATCAACAATGGCTATTTCAATTTTATATTTCAATATTAATTCTTCTTTTCTGTTAAATTTTAATCATTTTAACGAATTCAAATTATGAATTCATTAAATTTTAAAATTTATATATTATTTATTATATTACGTATTAAGAACAAGAACTCTTACCTATATGAATAATAAAATCAATTCAAAACAATTCATATGACTAAACAGGTTAAATGATTTTTCTAAATTTTATTTAGACACGTGAAATCAAAAATAGAAAACATAGATTATAATGAATGGGTACTTAAAATTCCGATTATGTGCCATATATATATATGTTGATACTGCATTCTTGCACTATATATACGGGATACATGCTAAATAATATTTCATATTTTCCATTGGTAACTGCTATTATCTTTCAAAGGGAATAATTATTATCAACTAGAGCAAATTAAGAGGAAAAGAAAAAAACAAATTCTATGCATGCTTTGTATCATGTAAAACATTATGTAATGTATGGAAAATTGCCAATGGTATATGAAAAGTTCAATTTATTCAGACTTTTTCTGATGATTTTCTTGTTCTATTTACTTTTTATAAACATACATATGTATGTGTACATACGTGTACATAAATTTATATGTAACTATACGAAGAATAAATTAAACTTTTGAGATTATGCAATTAGAAACTTTTAATACTTACGTAAATATTTTAAGTGTATGAATAAAATTAAAATATTTATTGAAAATTTAAATGAAAAATTTAATGAAATGATATTAGAATATGAAATTGTATAATTATTAGAGATGTACGTAAGATTTTTCAGTAATTTTGTATGAAAATTTAAAAATATAATGTCGCACTTAAAGCAAATTAAAGTTGAAATTATTAAAACTAATGAAATTTAACTCTTTGCCGATTTTAATTGCTAAAACAGTCTAAAAGTTAAAATTTGATTTAATTTCTTCTTCTTCTTACTAGGCCTTACAGACCATGAGGGTCCTGAGCCTGACTTATCATTTTTTTCCATCCGCCGCGGTCCTGGGCGGCTCTCCTCCAATTGGAGACACGAAGTCTTTCCAAATCCGCCGAAGTTTCGTCTCTCCAACGAAGATGCGGCCTACCTCGCCGTCTCATTCCTTCGGGTCTGGATTCGAACACTCTCCTTGCTGGGGCGCTTTCGGACATTCGTGCAATGTGGCCCAATCAGTGTAGCCTCTTTATCTTGATTTTGCTGACTACATCAATGTCCTGATACAGCTCGTAGAGTTCGGCGTTATATCTTGTCCTCCAGACCCCCTGCTCATTGACAGGACCAAATATGCGACGAAGAATCTTTCGCTCAAAAACACCAAGGCATTGCTCACTTGTCCTAGACAGTGTCCAAGCTTCCGATCTATAAAGTAAGACTGGAAGAACGAGCGTCTTGTACTGCTGCAGCTTAGTGTTTCTGGATAGGAGTTTTGAA